GGTACTGTATGGATAATGGTAAGCTTTGAGGTGAGGGCTAGTTTTGCTCTTCAAAGGTGGCAATGAGGGCAGTTCTGCTACAGGGCACAGATGTGTTGGATTCACTGCTTACCTAAGAAGAGACCCAGGTAACAACGGTACTTTTCTTTTCTCTATTGTTTATAGAATTTCCTATCATGTATGTAAGGCTGCCACACAACCGGACTAGTATGATTCCTAGTGACCCCACAGGTCTGCTTGGATCTCAGTGACTTTTTGTATGAGTAGTTGATCCTTGAGTTGGGAGCAGCCAGAGGAATAAATTGAGCTTGTATCATCAAAAGCTTTTTGTAGCATTTTTTGTCTTGACCTTTGTTCCATGTGCTCCTGCAGATGAGTCCTGACGGGCTAACAAGGAATGTAGGGAGTAGCGAAGTCCTGCATTTTCAAAGGCTGGTTCTTACTGGACCTATCGGGTCCTGAAGTGATGGGTGCAAAGCTGGTTGCACTGTTGCAGTGATGGTGAGGTGGTTGGTCCCTGGTAACTGTATGTTTGCTGACAGTATTTGGAAAAACATATGAGAAGAGTTAGCAAATCACATGGTCTGATTATCTGTCTGACCATACTGAGGGGCTTTTTTATTAGATCTGTGGGACTTGAGAGTTAAATCACGACTCTGTCATAGCTGTCAAAAAAAGTTACCTCCCACGCTGATCCATAAGATGACTGACAGTTCAGGTGAGAGAGAATTAGGATGCTAATAACATTGCGCACTCTGCTGTCTTCATATCCTTTTATGGTCTCTTCCTTACTGCCATAATCAGCCAGAAACATTAGACCAGTATTAGAAATGCCTGTGCTGCCTGTGTGAGAGCTGACCCTTTGGTAGCACTGCTGCAGCTGCAGGGCAGCTTAAAAAGCCTGCAGAACTGCCTCACATAGGTGCACCCTTAACACAGACAACACTGGATAACCCTGGAGTGTTGTGGCCCTGCTGAGAGAGAGAAATGCTCCTTGGCAGCTGTGAGAACACCAAGTGTGTGACGTAGCTGTCAGCAGACTGGGATGTATTTGTCTTGAAATTTTATTTATTTTGCAGAAAGCAAACAAAAAGAAACATGAGGTGACCTGGCCTGGTCTGGTTGGGGAGGTGAAAATGTAGAAGAATAAAGCCTATTTAAAGGTGATCAGGAAATTGACATGAGAGAGAGAGATCCATGCTACCTTCTCATTACTAATAGGACTGTAGTGTGCTAAGGCCCTGATTCTTTTGCTGCCTCTGTGTTAACAGACCATGGGCCTACCTGGAGCCAATTACAGGAACATGTCTATAAGTGAAATGACACCAGCCACAAAATCAAACTCTCTTTAACTATTAGGATGCAGCATGCATTATGCTGATGGAGATGAAGCAGTTTTTCTGTTCTGTGTGACTTTGAATTTTCCTATCCCAGTGAAACATTGTTCAGTTTTGCCGCCTTGTGCCGTAGCACAGCATCACACTATTGTGCTGTCAATGCTGCGGGAGGACACAAAGCTCGAAGTTGTACTCTCTGAATATTCAGATGTCAGTGTGACATCGACCTCATGACCAGATGATCACTTTGATTCAGTTATTAGATGATGGCCCCACTGTAACACATAAAGGGGGAGAAATACTCTTGGCTGCTATCTACTCAGAAGTTGCTGATGTTGGAGAAGGACTTACAGGAGCTCTCTGAGGCACCAGCAAGCTTGCCCATCTCATAGCCATTCTTGTGCTTTAAAGATGTCTGGGTGCCTCTTGGGGTATCCCCCTTGTATGAGGGCTGCTTCGTGCCCATCTCCGCAGAAGCTTTTCCCTTCCCCCTTTCTCCCGGTAGGCCAGCAGCTGCACTTGGGCCTGTGTGAAGTCACTCCTTTGTTTGCTCTAGCATCTCCTCTTACTGATTTTTATCTCCATGCTTGCTCCATAACTGCCACGTTACCAGAATGCTTGCAGGGTAAAAGTGGTGTGACAGACTTGTACTCCTTGGCTGTCTGAGTTGTTACGGTTGGCTTTTAATGTAACATCCCACAAGATGATGTAAGTAAGTACTTTGTATAATCGTGTGCGTGCATGGTAGTTGGCTGTGGTGAAAGAACAGAAAAGGTTTTTGTTTCTAGTTGCTTTGCCACCAACAGGTGGTGTGGACCTAGGCATGTCATTTAGCCTGTGCTTATTCCCACATAGACTCATAGAAAATTAAGGGTGGAAGGGACCTCAGGAGGTCATCTAGTTTAGCCCCCTGCTCAAAGCAGGACCATCCCCAACTAGATCATCCCAGGCATGGCTTTGTAATACACATTTGTAATAACAAGACTACTTCTGTACCCTGCTGTGCTTTTTAAGCTTAACGAATTGAAGATGCTTCTGCTGAATGGATGCATGGAATGGCAGCATCTTTCTGTTAATGCTAGATGGTGATTAATAGCAGATTCATCACAATACAAGTTTAAAAGAGGAACTTGTGGTTGAGAGAGGGAATAACAGGGAGCTTTAGTCTACTTTCTCATACTCTCTCAAGGAAAGATCTTGTGCCTTACTTAAAAAAAATCATGAATAGCTGTATGCGACTAACTGTAAACACAGCGCACAGGAAAAAAACATAGGCTGGCAGGATGTCACGGGCTTCACCAGGCTTGCCACTTACGGGCAGAGTCACTTCAGAGGAAGGCCCTGCGGTTTCGGGTGCATGTCTGTTTCTAGGCACTACTCCTATGTATTCAAGTTCACCAAATTCTGCAGGAAGGTCCTTTTTAGTGAGTTAGCTCTTCCTCTTCCTCGTTTAGACTTGCAGTGACACTGGACTACTTGTGCAACAACATTGTTGACAAGACTGGCTAGGTCTGGTACTCCATTGTGAAATCAGTTTGCTGTATGCGCTTCTCTTATCAAACACAAAAACCTGATGAAAATATGTAACTCAAGGAGAAAACGAGGCTACTGAGGCGGGTACCTAAATATAATGATTATATAGACCCACATTTATGGGCTCCCCTAACAACTGTGTAAAATACAAACAAGAGCCAAGATCTTTAAAAAACGGAAGTTGGGTATGGAAACAAGTGTTTGGGGGTGTGTGCAGGGTGGTCTCTGCTTCTCCTGACCTTCATGCCAGCTGCTGGGCTCTCAGCAAGTTTTGAAAATCGGCCCACTTAATTTAGGGGCCTACATTAAAGTACCGATTTCTAAAAACAAACAACTGAAAAACCAAACTGTGGCCAAGTTGGCCTTGGCTCAGTGTACATATCCTGCTGCTGGAACTAGACTGCTGTTAAGTTGCTCTCCTCCCCTTGTGTGGACACTGTTATGCCTGAATACTTTACTCCTGAATGGGAAGGTGAATAAGCTGTGACATTATTTCAGTAATGAATTGCTTCCCTAACTAGCACAGTTATAGTGTATAAGTGAGGCCTAAAACAACATGTGATCGATCTGCTCCCCTTTGAAAGAGTTTAGGATAGATTTGCCTGGTTGTAATTTGTTCTCTATGCACAGATCATAATTTACCATGAAATGATGATTCCTTAGTCTTGCATGTTCCAGAATCAGGCTTCCCAGGCATCTTTTCCTTGAGCAGTAGTTAACCTCCTTTTGGTGGGGTTGGATAGGTTACAGGCAGCTAGTCATTTATATAATCTTTCAGTAAACGTACCCCTCTTGTACTTGTTGAAGTGATTATGGCACTGTTGCCATAATCCAGGCTCTATTCCACTGTGGTATTCTGTGGAAGTTGTGTTGATTTGGGTGTTGGCTTAAAGACTTCTGACGAGTCCTTCCACATGTAACTTGAGGAAGATGATGAGCTTCCAAAAACTTAGGAGTATAACGGAGTCTCCACACCCATACCTTGCATGTGAGTGGGAAACTTAGCTTTCTTGTGAGGTGTGGCAAGTATTTCCAGCCTGATGGTTGGGAGACTGAAGACTACATGTTCTAGGCCTTGGATAAGGGAAAAAGATGGAACGCTGTAGTTAAAATAAATATATAGAATACCACCAGTCAGTTTGTTCAGAGGCTTTGCCAAAGAGGAATTAATGGGTGTAAGCACAGGTGAAACACTGAAAGGGGATGATGGTTGCTAGCCATTGTTCTGCAGCATTGCTGTGTCTGTAGTGTGCATGTATTGTATATATGGGGTTTGGGTTTTTTGGTAACCAGTTATGCTTTTCCCCAATAAGCATGACTGGAGTTTTAGTTCATCCTTTGAATGTGCATGTAGCTTCCATATTGGTCATAATACTTTCATTCCTGCTATAAATCTGCATATTGAGTTCTGGTTTGCCCCCTTTCATATCTTTGTGGACTGGTAAAAGGAAAGAGGAAGTTCTTATTTTTCTTGGAAATTTGCCTTCGTGTAGGATTTGGGTCCTTCTGAAACCTGAGGCTTACTCACGGTGGCAAGATGGACTTATCGTCAGATACTGGCTGTTTCGTTTTCCGTCTTTGTTCTCACACTACCAGGGCTGGGGAAGAAGCACATTTCTTTTAAAAGGGACAGTGTATTGAATTGCAGATCAGATTTCAGCAGAGCATTTTGGTGCTGAAGAGAGATGTAACCTTTTTTCCCCTTCAGTATTGTTGGGAAAGCATAGACATGAGCATGGTGTTACCTAAATACCTGCAGGGAATGTCTCTTGATAATATGTGAAGTGGCAATGTGACCCAAGGTGTTGTATAGGTTCTGAAATAACTCTGAAGCCCACACAAGATCTGGATGTTGCAGCATAGTAGATGTCTTTTGTAGGTGTTACATGGCGTATCTTTGTGTTTAGGTCTGTTTAAGGATTCCGAGAGAACCATCTTGCTCTATAATGCTGTGTCCTCATTGATGCGCCAAAAACTTGCCTTTCAGAATATACTGTTTCCTGTGCAGTAGTGATTCACACCCAAGTGGTAAAAACTGACTCCAGTTTAAAAGCTGCTGCTTCATCTGCAGTAAGGCGTGAGGCTCCATTCCCACTGAGACTAAGGTTTTCGCCCTTCTTGCTCCACAGGTAACATGGTAGAATGGTGTTTGCCCCAGGACATTGACCTGGAAGGTGTAGAGTTCAAATCCATGGCAAGTGGGTCCCACAGAATCCAGTCAGATTTTATGTGAGTATATGTGGGTTACGCTACTCCCTCCCATCCCCTTTAGTACTCACACTCTCCTTCTTTAGTTCAAAGCATTAAAAATGAAGGGTGCCGGTAAACATAGACTCCAAATTACCTTGTTATCAAATTAAGGTTCTTGGAGCTGAAGCAGTTTGTATCCATAACATCAGAAGCGTGCATCTGTTCTCCTGTGCGTGCTAATCTCTCTTCTGAAAAAATCTGAAATGTTACAGTCGCTGAGTCGGCTGTCCTTGGTGCTCAGTGAGAGCAAAGGTTGCTGGGGCTGCCAGCACATCATGGAGACCTTGCTCCCAGTCCATTTTGAGGCCATAATTAAAATACCAAATGCCTGTGTACATCAGTACCTTCCACTTCTGCTATTACTTGGAGCATCTGATGAGGCTGAGGGAGTGGAGAACAGCATCTTCTATGCCCCCCTCCCCATTTTAAAGTTTCTTTGGCCCTTCTGAGTATCTGCTTGTGTATCCCTTGCCATCTCTGTGCTTCTCTTCTCTTCCACTCCATTTCCATTGATTTTTGTTAAATGTTTGTCCCCAGTTATTTCCGGAAGGGGTTTTGCTTTGGGCTGGCCTGCTTTGCAAACATGCCTGTGGAGAGCGAGCTAGAGCGTGGTGCCCGCATGAAGTCGGTGGGGATTCTTTCTCCGTCATACACCCTGCTTTATAGATACATGCACTTTCTGGAGAATCAGGTCCGGTAAGTATTATGTGGGATTTGGGATTGGCAGATGGGGTTGGCTGTTTTGGCACCTGCATGGATGGATGCTGCCGGGTGTCATTCAGAAGGTAATTGTCCTTAATGTGTAATAAGGATATTGATATTTGCTATATTGCCAGATTATCATCTCGTCATGGGAAAGATAGAGACTGGGTGTTGCAGTATGGGATAGTGATGGAGGAAGGAAACTGAGCTGGTAATACAGAATGATTCATGGTCTAACACTTTACATTTTTCCTGTTTGCTACAGCATTGTTTGCCTTGAACAACTATGGGAACAAAATAATTGATTCCCCTCCCCTCCCAACACACACACTACCACCTTTAACACAACACTCTACCAGAAGTTCTTGAAAGATCCTTATAGCCAAGAGCAGGGTTTTGATCTCGCCCTTGACAACTGACTCTGATGTTTCTACACTGCAGTACTGTGTAGTGGAGATAATCAAGGAGGACCTGCAGGAAAACACTGCCTCCTTTGAACTGGTTTTAAACCAGGATCAGTCCTACCATATCTAGTACCTAAAGTCAGTGAGTAATTTACTTCACCCTGTCCCCAGTCTTTGGCTGCACTGACAGGCAGAGTTGCTGAGGGATACTAGTGCCATGATCTGTGACACCCAAACTTGTGCAGCAGTGGCACTTGGGGATGATTCATTGCCTAGAAGGCTGAGCTGGGAACAGGGGTGCTGGATGTGGAATCTGTGGATATCATAAACCTCTTTCATTCTGTTTCCAGACACCAGTTAGAGATGCCAGGACATTACTCCCACCTAGAAGCATTTTATGATGACAAGAAGGGGGTTCTCTCTGCTGGCAAGGGCAGCCTAACTTCTCAGCAACCTGTCCACTGGCTGCCATCCATCCACAGATACATGTACCCAGAGATGAAGGTGAGGAGAGTGCCAACTGTCTTGCACAAACATGCTCTTGACTGGTGTGCATGTGGCTAATTGGGGGTTAACAGCACTCTCTCCTGGGCAGCCTAATGGAGGTCTGCCTCCCACCGTGGGCTGAGCCCTGAGTTGTATCAGGCTGGATATGACAGACAGCAGCTCTGCACTGTTTGCGATGTGCTGATTTTCTCCCAGGAGTTTTGTGTCTGGTGTGGTGGGTGGTGCCAGTCTACATGTATCTGCATGTAGCCCCCATGTTTTCCGTCAGTGTTCAGCATCTTGCTGACCACTCCTGTTGTCTCTGAGCTGTTCTCTCTCCCTACCCTCAGATCACACACCCAGCTGGCTGTATGTCTCAGTTCATTAAGTTCTTTGGCGAGCAGATCCTCATCCTCTGGAAGTTTGCCCTGCTTCGCAAGCGCATTTTGATATTCTCACCACCACCAGTGGGAGTTGTTTGCTATCGAGGTATAGTTCTGTGGCCAGAAATCCCCTGCCTCTGCCCTCATGTGTCTCAAGAATGGTAACTCTTACATCTCTATACACGATGTAAGAAGCCTCCCAGCTGGAGGGGCAAGGGACTGATACTATGCAATTCCCCCAAACCATCAAAGCTACTCATAGACTGGCACCAGCCGAATCTTCTTTATTTCTGGGGTAGCTGAGGATGCTTTTTCCAACCTTTATAGCCCAAAGTTGTGAACCCAAACCCTGTTTCCAGGTGGCAGCACCAAACTATGTTGCCTGACCTTCATTTCATTATCAACGTCACTTGCAGAGAGGTGAGGCCTAAACAGTCCTGTAGGACTTTGTCAAAGTGGGTTTGAGCATGAGAACCTGTTATTCAGTGGGAGCATCAGTGACCATCCACCCTAGAGGAGGATGTTACTTTTGGTTCTGCCTGGATGGGAGAGTTCCATGACTCTAGAGATACTTCAGTGCCCATCAGATACCATTAGGGTAATAATTCTTGCCCAAAGAGAAATCTTTAGGGATCAGTGAGGAAGAATGGGCATGGTGAAGCGTAGCAAGAGGGAACACTGACATCTCATTATCCCTTTTTCTTGCCTGCAGTGTATTGCTGTTGTTGTCTTGCCAACGTCTCCCTGCCTGGTATTGGGGGAACTGTTCCAGAGTCCAAACCTTTCTTCTACGTGAATGTGGCAGACATAGAAATGTTGGAGACAGAAATGTCATACGTGGCCTGTAAGTACATGGAATCTTTTATTCCCCACAACAAGCAGCAATTTCTGGCACATCAGGAGAGGACTGACTTACATTTTTAACCTGAAGGAACTTGCACATAGTAAGGTGAAACTGTGTAATACGAAGGGAAGGGTTCTTTATGTTCAAGGAAGTGGTCATTTTGTGTCGTGGTCTCATCAGACAATTAAACAAGGACACCCTCCTGCAGGGAAAATGATACATTGGCACGAGAATCTTCTCTTCCTTGGGTTTTGGCAGGTACAACAGAAAAGATCTTTGAGGAGAAGCATGATCTCTATGATGTCTATGTGGATAACCAAAATGTGAAGACGCACCGTGAGCACCTGCAACCACTGCTGAAGATTAACAGTGCTGATAAGGAGAAATACCGACGGCTCAATGACCAGAGGTAATGGAAGGACCTGCTCACAAGTTGCGAGGGAGGAGCAGTGTGCTGTGGGGAGGGGACCAACACAGCACTCTTTGTGTTGCCTTGTCCATTTGCCAAACTTCTTGCTTTCTTATTTTGGTTCACCTCTAAGGCCCCTCTCTTACCAACATGGTGAGGATTGTTGATTGTGCAACACTGGGTTAGAGCCTCCAACCCAAATTGGAGCCCCATTGCATTGGGCACTGTATAAGTAAGCAGTAAGAGTCGCTCCATGTCAGTCTGCACAGGCACCAAGAAGGGGAAGTGACTTGCCCAGAGCTGTGCAACACAATAGTGGCAGTATTTGGAACAGAACTTGCATGGCCTTGCTCCCAGTCCAGTGCTGTCACCAGAAGACAATGCTGCCTTCTCAGTACTGGGGACAAAGGCACTGGGTTTGGTACTGTTATCTCTAGTAAGCGGACAAGGGATTTTCCATCATAATCACTCCTGCTGTTGCTGTATGTGTAACCTTACTTCCCTTCTCCCAGGCAGATGTTGCTATATTCTCAGGAGGTGGATGAGGACTGCAGCTCCTGTGAAGAGGACCTCTTCATCTTGTGAGTTGCTCTGACTTTGGGAATTCTTTTAAAGTGTGGTTTCACATTGACCATGCAGAAATAGTAGTGAGGTAAAAGTGGATGTCAGACTGTTTAATTATTGCCCTGGCTAGTAAGAAGTGCCTGGGCATTTCACTATAACTGCCCTGCATACCCCTCCGTGGACCTGAAAACCAAATTGGCCACTCTCCTTCTCATCACTTCTATTTCTGGAGGCTGATGTAACACCCTTAGTTTTGCTTAAGTTTCTGTAGGTGCTTGGAGGGGATGAAGTTCTTAAAACACAGGCTGGAAATGGAAAATGATACCTTTTCTTAAAATTTCTTGGGTTCTTTTCAGCCTAGAGTACCTGGCCATGCAGAGGAGGTTGTCTGCTTGGTCAGGATGACAGCATGCTGTCTGCAGAGAGTAGCACACTCTGATCCCTGGTTGGGGCATAATATTGTTTGTAGTTCAGTGAGGCTGCAGCAAATTAAGGTGATGCCTGTGTGGTTGCTGTGGTCTAGGAGATGGAGGAACTATATCTGGGTGGAAGTGTGTGAGAAAACTGCAAAACTAATGAGGCAAGACCCTGGCTCCTGGGGTCCTTTACCACATGTTCTTGCTTCCACTCTGTGATGTGAAAAAGTCAATTGCGTAAGGGAAAACTGGTTTCCTGAGCGAGGTGCATTGCCCTGCAAGCAGCCCCACACAGAACAGTGGGAACCTTACCACTGGAATCTCTGAAAATTAGACCAAGTCATAAAGAGGATACGTGGCAGGGATATGGCAGATGCACTGTCTCTGCATGGAGGTGCAGCAGGTGCTTGCCAGGTCATTTATCTCCTGCTCTGTTCAGTGGTTGGTATGGAAGATGAGTAATAGCTAGAAACTGGAACCTTAAGAACAGAAAATGGAGAACTCACTGGGGTCAGTGTAGTGGCTCAGTTCTTCACCCAGTTTCCCTTTGCTGTTCCCTCTGGGTCACCCTAAGGGGGTGTTAACAGATACTGCTGCTTTAATTCAGGGAGGAAATGCCTAGAATAAGTCAACTGGTCTGAAGCAATGGTCTCAAGTAAAAAGTTCAGTGCTGTTTCCCATTGTGGTAGGTACATCTCCAGCCCTGCAATATTTTGGTGTCACACAGGAAGTTGGGGATTGTGTTTTGTGAGTTAAATACAGTTCTCCAAGCTCTGGGGGCCGCAGAAAGCCTCACTCTTGTGATTTCTTCAATCCTGTGCTGTTTTCTCCATTGACTGTATTCTGCAGATTTTTCATGGAGCAGAACAATCGGATATTTCAGACGCTGATGGAGGTGTCAGCCAGCCAGGACAAGACCTTGACCGCTGACCATGCCCGGGGCATGGGTCTGGACCCCCAGGGGGACCGGAGCTTCCTAATGGACCTGCTAGAAGTGTATGGCATTGATGTGATGCTAGTCATCGATAACCCCTGCTGTACTTAGACTGAGGGTGGCAGAGATGGGAGCAGAGATGGCTTTTTAAAGACTACAGGACATTGCGTAAGAGCATCACTGGAACTCGGCAGAGCCACTGGAAGGATCTCCTTTTATTTAATAACTTTATACAAGGAAGTATTTATAATTTTAAACAAAATGTGATTTTATTTTCCTTTTGCCAGAAGTGACTGCTCAAGGTTTGGTTTTGTTTTTCCTGGTATCTATAGGACCAGTGGCCTCTTCACCAACCCTCACAGTTGCCGGTGTGGACATCTGAGGGCTGGAAATTTCAGGAAAGCACTTTCTTTTGTGGGGACCAATGTGAAATGATGCATATTTGAGCCTTCAGGACTTGTCTGTGGAGAATACCCCCTCCAGGGGAGTATCCCATAGTCAGCACGGGATCTGGTGCCCCAGTGTCTTGAATCTTCTGTCCCACTATGCTTCTCATTGGGGACCAGTCAGTTAATCATGCAGAATTACACTTCTTACCCCCTATCACCTGGCTGTTTCAGCAGCTGAGTTAGGATAAAACGAGTATCGCCAGCTGTGGCAAAAGTAAGTGGTTAAGAGTATAGCTATGCTACAGGATCAAGTGATCATCTCAGAATCTGGACTGGCAGGGCGGGGCATGGGTTCAAGTGCTGGACATAAAGAGGTGGAGTAATCTGGAGCTGACCCTTCCCATATCATGGCTGCAGGGAAGGGACAGTCTCTTTGCCTAAAGATTTACTTTAACCCCTTTGTGTTAGTTGCATGGATCCTGTTTTGGTTAAATGTTTCAAACTGGACAGTCTTCTGCCAGCCCCAAATAGTGACCAATATCCCAAAGGCACCTGGCACGTATGTTCTGCATGGCAGGGCTGGCTTGTTTGAGGGAAACTTGGCTCTGACTAGGGTAGTCAGTCCTTCACCCCTAACAGATGAGTGCAGAACTTGGGGAGGGGGGGGGGTTCTGCTGCTTAGACCAGCTCCCTCTCATTGTGCCATGGGTTTGCTTCAGCTTGTGCTTGCCCTGTCTTGTCACTCATCCCTCCGCTTGAACATTCAGTAAGTGGGTTCTTTGTCAGGCAGCTGTCCGCATATAGCAAGAGGGTGTACTTGTCTGTCAGTGTGCTGTGTACTGGGTTTCAGCCATGGTGCAAGGCTGATTCTGTTGTTCTCTGGCAGCTTTGAGTCCTCTTCTGGTTCACATGCCTGAGGGAGAGATGTACATGTGGGAGACTAGGGGCCAAATCTTCCTGCCCTCTACCTCCTGTGCACAAGGATTGCAGCTCTTAAATTACAGGAAAGGGCTGGATATAGTTTGTGTGGGACCATACGGCCCCTCATGAAAGGCTTGCCCCTGAGCAGGATAGGGTCACTGCCCTCCATTTGCCAGACTTGAATGTGTTTCACTCTGAGCCAATGGCATAACTTGCTGCTTTGCAGCACACATTCTTATAAGCCCTAAACCTGCTCGCATGCAAGCTGAGCCAATGACTTGTCAGTTTACCTGTGTACGTGAAGCCAGGTATGCAATGTACTCGTCTACCTTGCTTAAACTAGGGCCATGGTAGTCATGGGGATGGGGCCTTTTTTTCCTATGACGGACATCAGCAGCTGGGCTATCTTGCAAGCTGTAGTCGAGTGGGCTGGCTGTACAACGACTGTGGAAATGTTACCCGATTGCTGGCAAATGGAGTGGACACTTCATTCCATTCCTCCTAACTGTGGGCCAAAGTTGGGCCTGAACTCCCTACATTTTGTTCAACTCTTTTTTTTTTTTTCTTCTTTTTTTTTTTTTTCTTTTTGACTGACTTCTCTGCACTCCCTTACCAGTTTCAGCATTGGTTTCACCCGTGGTAATTTGGAAGTGAGAGACGGGCACATCCCACCTTCCTGTGAGGGCTGTCTCCAGCAGATGTCTGCTTCTGTTTGGGACTCAGAAGTTGCTTTCCCTTTTTTCTTCATGCCGGGCAGATTAAGGATTAGGTTTGAGGAAGAGGGGAAATGACCCAGCACATGTAAGACAAGTCCTCACAGTACTGACTGGGTTGCTTTTCACAAGTATAAATAGCACTTTATATCCTCTGTGCAGTGTGCTACCCCTTGGTAGAGTCTTTTGTCTGCTTTTCCCAAGGCTTTGAATATTCTCTTATAGGAGAACACTTGTACTATCCCTGTTCCTGCATCTGTATAGCATTAATCTTTACAAGGCTAGATTTGGGGAAAAAAAAGACTGAAACGAGAAACTGGAACTGAGCTAGATGTAATTAAAGAGTCCTTTTTTCTTTTTTTTAGAGGGTGGTTCTGTCCTGAGTTGACCTTTGATGTAGAACTGACCCATGCATTTCATAATTTTATGTCTATCCTGACCGTATGCCTCATTTATAACCATCCTCATGGAGGCACTTCTGCAAGGAGATATCACAGAAACAAGTTGGAATTGTAACTCATTTTTGGATACAGACATAATGCAATTGAAAATCTCATTAATTTCTCCTGCTATTTTACTTGTCTCTTGCTCTGGCCAGCTGTTAAGGGCTCTCTGCTCCTGCCCCCCAAAGCCTGGTTCTACTGTTAACTTGAGCAGGAGCAGGTCTTTAATTTGTATTTTACGGATTTTACTGCCCTCTGCAATCTGAGTCTTTCTAACAAGTTGCTGGGCAGTAGCAGGGCAGTGTGTGTTCATGAGCTGTCAGGATGTTGGTTCTATCAGACAGTACTGCTAAAATGGACTGAGAAGAGCCTGCTGAAATGATGATTTCACATCTATTTACTTGCCTCCAATAACCTCCACTTTTCAGCAGCTATTAGTGGGGCCATTAGACTTCCAAGATACCAAGAAGTGTGGGTGCTGGAACAAGTGGATGATAAATGTAAGTCTGCTGCTGTTCCATCCCAGCTGGACAAGTACAGCCACTGCTGCCTTTGTAATTTGAATTTCTTCTCTTAAAAGGCAGCCACTGCAGCAGGTTAGAGGTATTTACACAGGAGGGGCTCTTCGTTGTGCCCTACTGTCTCTATTAACTGCGTGGGCAAGGGGGTAGGAGGAGATTGCTACCCAATATCAAGCTGTGCCATGACTTACCTGCTTTTGCCTCCCTGAGAAGCATACATATAGCATCTTTGCAGAGCTGTTGTTGCTTTTACCAACACTAGGGCAATGTGATAGCTTGATCTGATAAGATCTGCTTAGCAGGCTCATTTTGGCTTCTGACCTTAAATACAGCGCACTGTAGCATATGTTCCTTTTGTATGTCAAAGGCAATAGGACTAACCTCTCTCCTGAACATAAAGTCTACCCTGGAGAATGCAGCTAATACCTCCTCTTCTTGTTCTGTCAATTTATTTGTAAAATCACTGCAGCTAAAGGAACACTGCTGGAGGGAGAGGAAGGGAGAACAGTAAGCTGATCAGTTTGACTATTTTGACTGATAAAAAAGGATATGGTGAAGAGTCTTCTCCCTCTTTCATTTGAAATACTTTGCCTTTAAAGCAGTGCCTTTTAGGTTTTAATGTGATGGTGGCTATGATGTAATTGTACAGTAGATATAATATTACTCCCTCACTGCAGAGAGGTTGTAATACCTGGAGTGATTTAATGCAGTGCCCTCTCCCTCAATGTTGTAATGTCTCTAAACAATCACACTCTCTAACCACCCTGCTTCAGCAGCACCTATTCATGTCTGAGCTCAGAGGAGAGAGCAATGGCTTTTACTGCTAAATAACATAGTTCTACAGCAGCTTCCTAAATTTATTGTTGGCTCTGAACATGTACGTGAGAACTGGTTTCTCATTATTTTCCCTCCCACTCAGCTACAATGCGGGCTTCACCCTTGCAGCGAGGGAGTGGAACATAATTAAATTTTTCAAGACTTACGTGAAGAATAGGACTTTCTTAGTATTAAACCAACTCTGGTAGATTATGATCTACTCCAAACTTGCTTAAACCAGTAAACATTTTTCACTGACTTATTGGCTTTGGGCAAGGCCTCTAGAGAGGGCAATTGTAGGTAAGCCTAGGAAACCTGCCCTAGCTAATAGGTGTCACCTGTCTGTGTCCACCTGTCATGAGCTTTAGCACAAATATTGGGTAAAGAGGCATTTTTACTGAACTACTGGTCTCTGCATTTATCTCTAAGACCTGCTGAGAGTACCACTCCCTTCCAGACCATGGTGAAGGAGCTGCTTTCTGAGCCTGCTGGAATGGAGGGGTTACTACTGAAAGAAACACCTTTTTTCCTTTTGCCAGTGTTTGGAAGGGGCAGAGCAGTATTCACAAGAGTGTGAGAGTAATAAGACTTTTACTTCCTTTAAAAAGGAAACAACGTTCTACAGTCCACTTCAAACAAATCAGTCCACTGTGTTCTGCAAAGCCCTTACACTCTGCCAGTAAAGAGCTGGGAAAGGGAACAGACTCCCGGTTGTCGCATTGCTCCTGTTGTACACAGCTCTATTGTTTCTTACATTTCAAGTAGCCCTCTTTGCATAGCTTGATGGTGCTTCCTCTATTTTTTTGGATCAAGAATAATTTATATGGCCAAGACTGGGCTGAGATGACAGTGGAATAGAGGCCCTCTTCATCTCTTACAGTCTGCTGTAGATGTACTATTTGCTCTACCAGGGCAGGTGTGGTTTGTAAAACAGCAGGTCAGTAGTACTCCACCAGTTGCAGCTGTCTGATTCGAACTGTGCACGCTAACCCTACCTCTCCCACACTTGCTGTTGCTTCAGAGATTCTGGTAGCTCATTGTCCTTTCCCAGCCAACGGTCTTGTGACAGCAGGAAGGGATAATGCTGCTGTTTTGTGAGCTGGACTGGAATGTACTGATGCTTCTTTTTAGGGTGATGCCCTGGCTTTACAACAGTAGAATCTGGATTGCGGGCTCTGTTGACCAGAACCTGCCATCCAGCTGGAAACATTAAAATACACTGTGTATTAGGTTCGTCCCTCTGAGGACATGCAATGCTTTCCTATATTATAGGTCCCATCTTTGTAATGAGCCATGTACATTTTAATAATAGCAGGTGAAATCCTTATTGCACTGAAGGCAGTGGGATGCATCAGTGGAGCCAAAATATCATTCCGCAGACCTATCTTATGAGTTTACACTCTGAAAAGAACATGCACACTTCTCTCCTACCCGAAACAAACAAAAGAACGGTGCTGCTTATCTATCACAGGTAGATGGATCCAGTCACTGCAGTAGCTAAGCACCTTGCTAGCTTGAATGTATGCATCCTCAAAACACTCCTGTGAGGTAGAGTGCTGTTACCACAGTTCACATGGGGTAGGAGGGAAGAGCAGAAGCCTGGAGTCACTTGGATTTGCCTGCATTCAATTTTTCCCAGCATAATGATGTGTTCTTAGGAGCATGAAAAAAATTGTCCCCTACCTGGAAGAGCTGTACCCCCATATTGAAAAAGCCTTTGGCACAGCTTAATCCATTCAGGAAGCTTCATGTGTACCAGCATACATGCTCTCAGCTCTACAGCTGTGCCAGCAACCCCTTTTAAGTGTAGACAAGCTCAAAAGTCTAAGGTCATACAGGAATGGTGGCAGAACATGGAGCTGAACTTGACTCTTCTGAATTACTACCCTAAAGAACAGAGGGCCATCTTGACACGCTGCCTCGTGTATTCTCACTAACCAGGTAGCTGCTACCTTACCAAAGTTGAAAAAGGTTTTATTATTTTTGGCTGTTTTTTTCATACTCACTGGAGCGTTGACCTGCAGCCATCCATTGTGTGTGCCTGCTGCTGCAGCAGGAGAGGCTGTGCTGCTGACCCTAGGAAGGCAGGTGCTCTTTACCCTAGCATAACTGAACTGGAAGCTAGTTCCCATGGCAGCCAGGTCTTCTCACTCACAGAGCTGCAAAGGAGCACTCTGCATTTATGCCTTGACTAGTTAAAGCGACAGTTTTCTCTCAGTGGGAAGAACAGCACTAGCTTCACAACCCAGAGTTGTTCCCATAGGACTGACCCCATCTGATGATGGAGCCAAGAGAAGCTTGCTTACTAAAACTTGGTTTGGTTTTGTTCCATTTGTTTTTACTATTAAAGCTCACATTTTAACAGCCCTGTTGTCTCTGCCCCTCAGTCTAATTCTTCTATGTTAGTTCCCAGTGCAAATGGCAATGCAAGCTTCAGCACACCTCAGTAGGTTGACTGAGCAAAGCCCCCCAAAAGCTGGCTCTACCCTCCCTTCCTCAACCTAGCTTGGGGCAAGTTGATGATTTCAATGTAGGTCTGAAGTGCCCCTGTTAAAATAAGTCGAGTGGGACTAAAGCCTGCATATTCCTTTCTACTCTTGTTGTGTCTACATATGCTATTAGTGCACAATAAACTCTGGCACATATTGCACTGGAGTTAAGTATTCCTGGGCACCATGTTTGACCCTGTTCTTGGGACCATAGCACGCTGAGCTGGGTTGGAGCAGCCTGGGGCAGCTCCAACCCAGCTCAGTGTGCTGCAGAGGGTTTGGCCGGGGCATGAGGGTCCTCCACGGTGGGGCTAGGTGGCAGGCAGCCCCTGTGCTGGAGCACCCTTGTACCCTGGCCAACCCTATCAGCATCTACACATGCAGTGCTGCAGAGTAAGAAAACTCCACAGTAGGATAGTACTTGTATTTACAAGTTCTATCTTGCTGTGGAGTTAGTTAGTTTACTCCATCCTAATAGCACTGCACGTGGAGACATTTACTGTGGAGCTAATTAGGTAACTGCAATAAATGTCTCATGTAGATGTGCCCATGGAGGTAGCAGTGCTAAACTGGATAATTATATGCTCACTACTGCCCCCATTCTTTTGACCAATGGAGAATAACACAAATCAGCCCCTTCCACCAATCTAAAAAGCACAAGCCCTCCTGCCTGAGGGCCTGCAGGCTGGTGGTAAACAGTGTTGTCCTGTTGTTTGGGGGGAAGCACAGCACCAACTGTTCTCTTAACTTATAATTTCTTTTTCCTTGCATGTTCTTCACCTGAGACCAGAAATTACTTTTTTTCTCCCCTCCTTTGGCCCATCTTTTTTTAAGGTTGAGCACACAGGCTGCTGCAGAGGCATTGGAGATGGCTCAGCACAGCCAAAGTTAGAAGGAAGCAACTGGGCCAATGCACCTGCAAAGGACATGTGATCTAATACAACAAGAAGGCCAATGGATTCATTGTAGACCACTGCAAACTTAACAGGAATGCTTCAGCCTGAGTAGAAACAGCAACCACATCCAAAATACATGAGGACAGAGTTTGCTCAGTGCATGGTGCTAAGCAAACCAGAATCAAGCAAGTTGATGGCTGAATTAAGAAAAGTACAGAGACAGTTGTTGCGAGTCAAAGCCATCTCTTTACAGTGACAAGCTTTAACAGTGAAAAAATCTCCGAGAAACAAAAGCATTAGGGGCTAGAGCTCTCTCGTGGAAGTGACAGCTCTCTACGGAAAGATTAGGGTATTTTAAGTTAGGAACAAAAGTAACAGGGTAAGGATATGTATAGAATAAGGAATGTGATAAAACTGTCTTTTGATGCCTCTTATGCTACTATAAAAACCAAGAGCATTACTTAGTGAAAAGCAATGCATCTAAAACCAGATCAAAGGAATTATTTATACAACTGCTGAATATTTTTTTGAAGTAAACAGTTTGATAAGACAAAAAAATAAGTATCTCCACATTAAAAACGTGCCTTCACCAATTGCTCATGGATCCAATATGCGGTTGGGTTAGCAGTTGAATAAGAATGAAGCAGTCATCCCCTGGATGAAAAGGACCCTTGAAGCAAGAGGGTTTTACATATGGGTTTTACTGTGCATCTTAAAACACTAGCTAGAATAAAATTGCAAGGGATATCAGTGCTTGCACTTAATTCAGCTTATGCTCTTATCTCCCTCCCTCCTGATACAGGAAGGCTCAAGTACAGGCACACTGCTGACAAAAAGATGGGAATTTAGACTAAAATGAACCACTTATCTGCTATGGCAATACCTGCACTTTGTAAACTCCCCTCCTACTATCCCAGCAGTAGCATCATGTTCAAAACATTTCCTAGAGCCCAGATTTTTTGGATCTGAACAAGGTAAGATAGCCCCAACACTCTCAAACAGGGATGACTGCATTTTCCATTTCACTTTAATGAAGACTGGCAGTATAACTAGCATCTGCCTGCAGTGCTGTTAAATGGAACAATGTTGTCTTTAGACAAAAGAAGATGCCACTGAGTTGATGTGCGTTTCTGAGTCCAATGTGCAGTTTTACTTTCCTTGTTACTTGTCAGTTAGCAGCTCTCACCAAAGCTGCTGATACCTGACATGTAAACATGCCAGTTAACTCAGGACTCAGGCTGAGTTCTTTGGGGGAGGGTACTCGGGAGACTGTAGATTTGATGACTTGGGTGAATGCCCCTCACTTCACCGCTGCCTGCAGCACCTGCTCCCTCCTTTGGGGGTCGCAGAAGAATCGGAGTTTCCGAGGTAACAACTTCACCTCCACAGGCATGGCTTCATACTCCTCGCTGTCTAAGCCGAAGAAGCCTTCTGTGCCCTGCCAAAAATCACAAGGTAGCTCGGAGTTGGTGACTGAGCAATAGTCACTACAACGCTCTAACTAGTGCCTGAGCCCAGTTATGTTTCTTAACAGGCTACAATTGGAGTAACTGCTGGATCTTCAGCTGCCTGTCTCCCCAGCACAAACAGAACTGTACTGGTTGCACCTAAACAGATTAGCAGACTGCTGCAGATTACCTCACTTAATAACTAATTGGCAGTAATTAAATGCTAGGTAGCTTTAAAGGCCTGCAATGCTTATATTTAAGGGTTCTAATTTCCATGGAATTACACAGAACAGTGAGGTGGTGTTTTCTTGGCCTGACCTGGTGGTAACAAGCTAAAATAGTTGCATAATAGCCATGATTGCTATGCCACAGGCACCTCTTTATACTGGTTTTGTCGTATCAATCCCCACTGCTATGGCACAGCTAGCAAAACTCTTGACTAGGAAGTCATCAATCAGGCCCGGAAGTGGCTCCTCAACCTCCAGGCCAGAATAAACTGATGCAGCCAAGTGAATAATCCCACTGTTTTTATATAGTCACACATGTAAAATCACCCAGCATTAAGGCTTAGGCATCAGAACAGTGCACATGTACCTTCTGTAACCTAATCAGGGGCCTGCCTTAGTTACTCAAGTCCTCAGCAACAGGTGAGGTGCAAAGAGTATTTTGTTAACAGACTCCACATTTGTGGCTCAACTATATCCAGCCCAGAGCCCTAGTGCTTTTGCATATTTTCAAGTCACAGACTTCATTGACACTGGAGCCACATGAGAACTGGGATGCTGCCTAATGAAAACATTCAGCATTCAACTAGCAGTTTAGGGGAGGACTTCAGAACAGAGTCAATTGCCCAAAAGTTTCTCTACTCCAAAAGCCCCATGTTCCATAAGTAATATTAAGAGTCCTAAAAAAAGATTACAAGTATCTGAAGACAAGGATGACCTATTACAGACATCATCTCCATGTGAACACAGGGCTCAGTTCTTTTGATGGGCTGTCTCAGGATGTTAAAGCCACACATATATATCCAGCCTGCCATATTTCTAGGAGGCAACTAAAAACTAATCCTGCTCAAGCAGGACTGATTTTTTTCCTTTCCTCCCTTAACAACCTTTTTCCACTGGGAATGCCACACACTGTTCCAGAGTCTTGGGATTTACGTTTATCACAGATACTTCACCTCTTAGGTAAGCCTCTATCACAGCCTGCACAGGTCTCCATAACCCTACACTTCTGTTCTCCATTGTCTAACTCCCAGCAGTGCTCCTCTCAGTTAGCGATCTAAAAATAGACTTCAGTATCCAGAGTCCAGTTAGCCGAGGTCATGGGTATGCACCAAGCTCCGTGCCTGGGCAGGAAATCATATTTTCCTTTTCCACTGGGAGAAGGGACAGGAGGGGGCTTCACTCTACCCTGGGTTCTCGATCAACCACAAGAAATGCTGAACTCAGGATTCCATCCATACTCTCCTGGCTGACTCACTCCATTGGACATGGCCAATTTCCTACACAGTGAGGACGGCAAGATCACCTATGATGGAAATCAGGGTTTCTCTGGTCTCACCTCCGGAAGCTTTAAGATGCATTTGCTGGCTTGGAGACACAGACTTCCTTCTGGACACATCTGGGGGTCAAGCATCTTTTGACTTCTGTTTGAACCCAAAAAGAGATAAAGATTAGCTTTCCTAGCAGATGCACTCATGGGTAGAGACATAGGTGCTTGGTAGGCTTACTACCTCCCTAAAAAGAGCAAGTGAGGGAACATTTGTCATAGTTAGTGTGAGGGAGGGTTCATGCTCAGAGTTAGATGTTGCTTCTTCATGACTGCCAATATGCCTTGAGCAGGCCCAGTTTATTGTTGCTCTTGGTCTTGCTGAGAAGTCTGCCCACTCTGCCATCCAAGCAGATGGTTTTGTCCATTGACGAGCAGGGCTGGATCACTTCTACAATGTATAAGTTCTGTCTTCTCACGTAATGCCAGACCCCCAACAATTAATTGGTGGCCTCCCCAGCCCTGTTGCCCCTCCAAACTCAGTAAATATTTGATTGGAAAAATTAAGCTAGTTCACTTGTACTGTATTTTTAAGTCAGAGTTTGACAGAAGCTCCTTCAGTTTCAGCATGAGTCCAATGAAAATTAAAGGTTGCCTTATTAGCATCTCGTGTGGAAGGCCAAAGCCCATGGTTTTATGTCTGAAAGAAAATGGTTACCTTTATAAACTATATCAGTTTCTCTAGGGGACAGTGAGATTCCCATTACCTGTGCACTTCAATATTAGATGTATTTATTTTGGTACTGTTCCAGATGTAGGAAAGGACTCTGATGCCTATTTTTTTCCAGCGAGAGAAAAACAAAGCCAAGTGACTAGTTTCGGAAGTCTGGGGCACAGTGGGGACTTGAACCTGTCACCCAAGTAGTGTCCTTTCCACTGGATCATCTCTTAAGTTACAAAACAATGCTCTAATATGGTCAGGCTCTTTGCAGTGTTAATTCACCAAGGGTGATAGTCATCCTGATACAGAAAGCCAACTTGAGTTCCTCACTTACAGCCTTGCTACAAGACTTAAATGGCACCTCGGCCTTTTGCTAGCCCTCTACACAAGAACACATGGGCCCCGTCCCACATGACGGTCATTATGCCTCTGTTCCCACACGCAACAGTCAGGTAGGTAAGCAGAACAGTACACAGGCCCAGGATTATCAAGCAGCAGAGCAGAACACTCTATTCCACCAGAAAACCATGGATCTACAGAACCAGTAGAGATGACACATCATCATCTGCCCGTAAACATTTATGGGGCTCAGAAAGCTATAACGGGCTGGTAAGAAGCGGGTATTCAAAGACCTTCCTTGCTGCTCAGCATCACTCAGCAGAACATGGCGTCAGCAAAGCCTCAAACATAACGGCTGTGTACCTATGGGAATAGTGCTCTTAAGAATAAGCACCATCAAGCCACAGAGCACTGGGAATGAGAGAAAGTGACCAGAAATCAGGGCTAACGATAAACAGTCCAGGGAGAAAAGCTAACAAAAGAGGGGCAGCTAAGGATACAAGGACCGCAGAGGGGGGGGGGGGGGTGTCATTATATATACACATATACACACACATCTATATCTAGATATAAATAGATATAAAGATTAATGAGCAATTGCATGGAAGTAGTGTCCTCCTAGCAGTATAATTATATATTATTGGCAGCACACGCTGCTGACAGTGCTTTACAAGCAGTAAGGCATACTGCCTTCTAGAAAAAATCTACCACCTAAGGCTGTGGACCTCACTAATGTATCCATAGAGGCGGACTCCTCTGTCCACTAAGGGCCCTAGGGAAGTAAACGTGGCCCTACAGGGAGCAAGGACAGCTGCCAGCCTCAGGATCAAGGAAGACAAGACAGAAACAGGACACGGAGCAGAAAGGGTGGAAAGGGAGGAGGTCAGAGAATCAGACAGACATAAAAGAGGACAAATACATCCCTAGAGATCCAACCCGAGGGCCAGAAATGGGCTCAATTTCACTCAGCTTCTTACACTCATGTAAAGAGAGGAGAGAGAGAGAGAGACAAAACAAAAGCAAAACAAGAACAAAAATACCTAATAACAGCACAAGTTGCCAAGTATGCCCCACCATATATTCTAACTCTGAAAATACAAGCAACTATAACCCACAGCACCACCTGCTGTAACACAGCACTATACAACAGGGGATGTGCCTTTCTTACCCCAGGTGGTGACCATGCACATGCCATGAAGTGACAGCCCACACTGTTCAATCCAGTGCTCAAGCTGGAGTGTGGGGTAGGAAGTTACTGATGGCTACAAGGCCATCTCTCTCACCTCTCCTTTCTCCCTACCCAGCAGCAATATGAAGGTTTGGTGCACTTTAAAATTCATGGCATGACTCTTGAACTCCACTGGCTCTTATCCTCTAGCCCTTCCTTCTGGTTCCGAAGTGGCCACTCCAAACTGGCCCCAAATCCCGGTCTCCCACAAAGATTGCACAGAAGGGCCGCACTATCAATCACCTCCACACCTGCCTGTACACAATATTGCTGAAAATATCCTCCTCAATGCAGAGCTGCTGGCTATGTAAAGCAGAACAGAACCCTGTCACACCATCTCACACAGATGTTCTTGAAGACAAGCTCCTCTGCTTGGGACACTGTGACAGAGACTCTGCAATGGAAATGGCTTTGGAGAATTTCCTTCAGGTGACATTTAATGGCAGCTCTCCCATCCAAGCAGTTGGCTTGGTTCATGTCTACCTTGTAGGAGCAGCCTTTTCAAATGTCTTCTCTTTCAAGGGCTGGGCAGTTTCCTTCTTTCATTTTCTGAGACTAAACTAAAAAGACATGATTCTTTGAAGCTGCTGGAGCTGCAGATTTCTGTTGCTGCTGCTAATTAGCTCCAGCCAGTAGCATAAGTATTGCATATTATTGTACTGGTGACTGAATGTGAATGAGAGGCCTCTCCCTTTGGAATCCAGCTAATTCTCTCTCACCTCTCTGATACCCTGGACATCTTAACCAACACAGACTGCTTAGAAAGACAGGGTCCTTTTGCTGCTGATGGTAACAGTAGCAACATCCTTTCCTTCTACAGGTCTTTCAAGCACAGATCCAAACTCAGTGACCTACAGTCAACGCAGCTGATGTGCCTTACACAGCAACACCTGATCAGTTATGTGCTTGTAGGTTGGCAGATTTTGTTCCTGTTGAGATAAGGTGGCATGCTCAAATAAGGTGCCTGCTGCTATTAATATTGTAAACAAGATGTAGATGTGCAGTTACCAAAGGGCATCTAAAAGCTACTTATAACATTTCCAAACTTTTCCATTTGGCTTCACTAGAGGGGGCCCTAGGGCTGGAGAACACCAGCAGCAGCTGAAAAGCCAGCTGTTAGGAATGGGGGAAAAGTATTTAAAAAAAAAACCAAAAAAAAAATAAAAATAATTAAAAAAAAAAAAAAAAAATCAGACATTTCAGGTCCCTTCACTTCAATGAAAATGCAGTATTACTTGGTAACAGGGTCACTTGCAGGAAACAATCTCTGATCAGCATCTAACATGTCTTAATGGCTTATTTGCAGATCAGGAGAAATGAGTACAACCTCCAGAGTGCCCCACATGATGCAGGTGGTAGGTAATGGGTAAGAAGGCTGTGAGCCTGGGACCACCCTCCCTCCCCTAGAACTTCCTTCTCTGCCCTGGTCAGTCCACACCACACCACACCATCCCCCTTAAAAATGTACTACTATCCAAAGGTCTTTCCAGCTCAGTCTTCTCCATTTCAGTCCACACAGCTTGATGTTGACATAAGGTGACCATAAGAACATCTGGGACACTGCTGCTCCCCATCCCTGGTCAGTGGCACTGCTGCAGGCAGTGGCAGAGGCCAGCAGGGTGCATCATGCTGCTCCGTCTCCCCACCAGACTACACCCTGCACCCCTGTGATTCTTGGACTCTCATTTTAATTTTGACCAACTGGCCAGGACTGGACTTCAAAATCCGGGACTACACTGGCCAAACTGGGACCTATGGTCACCCTATGCTTACAGCATATACCACAGAGAAACCAAGAACATAGAATTAGTTGTGTGACCAATTTAAAATATCTTACATCTTAAGGTGGCCTTCCAATACTCACCCTCTGTTTATGAAATTTCCCTTGCTAACTGTATCTGGTTCAATGCAAATATTCATGAAGTCTTCTGTGTGCTATGGAAAAGATTTAGAATCCAAATGGTTACTGTGGGTCATACATGCCATGCAGCAGTACATTCAAGAAACCCTGCACAGAAAGAGCCTGTTCCCCCATCCCAAACTGTCCCTCACAGAAGACGTGGCTGATTGGTTGGTTGGCTGGGGTTTTTTTTGAGAAATAAAAAGATTTTTTTTTAATTTACAGAGACAGTGTCAAGTTAAAACCAATATCTTAAATTCTCCCATACCAAATAGCACTATTAAGCAAGAAAGTTAAGTATTATTATTCTAATATTTACACTGTTGGTCTTTTTTTTGTATTTTTCCCAACTGCTATGGAGAACAAAAATAGACCATTCATTTTTACTTTTGTGCACACCATCAGTTCTTAGTCAATATGTATTGGATTCAGTATGTGTTAGAATTAAAAATAACATATTTCATTTATTCCTTGGCTTTGTAAAAACACAGATTTAAGTTCAAACTTTACCACGCACGCTCTCTAAACTCCTAGCTCAGCTGAATGCTGGCCTTAAGTGTCTTATCTGTTACATACCTTTAAGACTGGTCTACACAAAAGATTTTGCAAATAAAGCAAAACTAAAGCTTTTCAAAACTGGTTGACGTAATCATTTTACACTGGCAGATGTTCTAAGGTAGATGCAGTCCTACTAACAAAAATACATTTACTAGTATAGCATATTTTAGTATTTTACCTCTCCAAGGTGCATCTATACTAGGAGGATTTCTAACATATGTATATGTGACAAATCTTTCTGAATATGGGTCAGATCTATGTCAAGTGAGGAAGGGAGAGAGGAATAACACTTGTTACTCATGGGTCACATCTACAGATTGTGAAGCTACACGGTGGATTCCAAAGGATCACTGTCTAGATGGGTGGTCATAAGACTTGATACATGAAGGTGCTCAGGGTTCCTAGGATGAGACTGTGGTTATGTGAGCTGTTCTGTTCTAACTGTGCTGGTGACCAGAGGTGGCTATATGCCCCTCCACCTCCCACTTAATAAAGCGCCATTATTTATTGTTGCTGCTTTGAAATGAAGTAAAGGAATAAAGAGGTGACCCCAAGCACTGGATTGTGCTAGTGGAACACTAAAGTTCCCATTAATATACTTAAGATCACTGGTCTCAAACCAGTCCAGTTCAGCAGTGACTAAAGCTGTTGCTAACTGCAGTTCTCAGCATATGGATGTCCCCACCACAAGACCATCATAACAGCTGGCATAGACTAATCTCTGTCCTGTGGAAGGTCAGCGCAGGGGATGAAAGGGTGTACCATGTTGCATTGTTTGTCTTTAGTCCTACAGAGCTAGAACTTTGGCCCAGCACTTACCATCAGAAGTAATGACCAAAATCTACCCAGAAAGCTTTCACAGTAATGAAATCACACCAGCCATGGAGAGTTTTAGGGACATGAACAGCTGTGTAAGCGTGCCAAGGAGACTAACAGGGACAGCTTATTTGATTTGCCCCTCCAAAAATAAAAAAAAATAAAAAAAATCACCAGTTCCTACCCTCTTTAAATTAAAATGGCTGCTGTCCTTATTTCAGTGCCAACACTTTTTAGTCCTTCACTCTGCAGTCAGTAGAGAGAAAAAGATGACATTTCAGGCAGACACCCAGGCTCACTGCCTCACTTCAGCAACAGTAAAAAAAATACCTCCACTCTCCCACCACAGGGCAAGGAGAGGAAGCTCTTCTCAGGGGGACTTTTTTCTGCTCTGAAATCCTAAAGCTTGAATCTGGTTTGTGAAAGCTCCCTGTAATACCTGCTTTTCCCTGTCTGCCCAACTTGGGTCTTGCAATCCAGTCTCAAATGTCCCCCAGAATCTGTACAATGACCTGTAAAACCAGCCCACCCTTGAACCCCTCTGTGGGCTGATGCTCCTGCAGGCATTGCATACAGCACAAAAGATGGGAGCTCAACGAGAAAGGAATGTCTTGGCCTAGAAGGGAACGCTCAGAATTTAAACTGTGCTCTCACCGTCAGATCAAGCTGCCTGTTCCGAGTCGTGATGGAGAGTTCAATGGTGGACAGCTTCATTTCTTCCCAGGCCTCATGAGCTGCCTCTTGGGGGACTTCTGAGAATCCAGAAAGGAAGAGATCATTAAGCAAAAAGTAAAGTACACAGACCAGTGTTCTACTTCTGTGAAGCATAAAAGATCTGTGTCAGCTAAAACCACTTCAACTCACTATTTCCACAAGCTCTATTTCTTTCATATTTCTGAATCTACAGTGGGATAGGGGGATGTTGTGAGGGCCAAGTAAAGTTTGTGCAGTAATCAATCAAATTATCACCCACGCTGCATTTAAGTCCTAAAAACAGTCCCACAGACTGACAGGTCTCCTGAACTTTTATTATAGGAGCATTTACAAGCCTATAGAGGGAATGCTGCTAAAGCTGTGACATTCAGGTGCAGTACAGATGTCTTATGGGAACTCTCTAACCCAGCCAGAACCCCCAAGGTTCACAACCAAACTATTTGGTCTTCCTTCTAAGTTGTCTCATCTAGTCGAGATCTGAATGGGCTATATCACTATGGAGCAAACAGGATACACAGAGATGCTCTGTTCCTTTATGCACACACATGATTAAGTAGGAATAACCAAGAGAGTAGCATCACTGTAGTGAGTATGACAGGGCCTTTGGGATGCCAACCACAGGAAAAGAGCAGCAACCATGAACAAAGCCTTGGACAAAGTTTATATATTGCAGCTGATATTCAAGTATAAAAATGTGCACACAGGATCTCATCCATTAGCCTCTCCACAAAATGGCCTTATCAGTGTACACTGCACTTCTGAACAGAGCCTGTCTCAATATCTATACCCACATACCTTTTGCAGGCCGTGACCAGTATTGCAGAAGTCTTCTGTAAATCCTCACATATAAAGGGGCTCTGGGCAGCTTGTCTTCTGACTCTTCTGGAGGTCTCTCAGTTGGACCCAAATACATGAGAGAGGCCTGATGCTTCTGAGGCCATTTCTGGGATTTACAAAAAAAAGAAGGAAAAAAACCCAGCCTTCTGTAGTGTAACAATCTGTTTATTCTGGCTGAGGGACTGGGAGGGGTCATCTACAACCCTCTAAGAGTAAAAATCCCACTACCTGCTCATCCCACTTTTAAGGCTCCCCAGCCTTTAGATTCCCTTATGGGAGATGATGTTCTCCCAGCTGGTACGGACAATGAAGGCTCCACAGCCAATTAAGCTGATATTTAAATTAAACACACTCCAGAAACTCATCCAGTAGCCTACACGCACACAGTATTCATCTATTCTTCTAGGCATAAGACTATATTAGGGCTTGCAAGTCATAAGCTTTGTTTGAATCTTAGACCATACATTATTGAGCCAGATTCCTCTACACGGTTGAACACAAGGGAAAGATTCCAGTACAACTTGCTTATATTAACGAGACAAAATCAGGCTTGCATAGGAAAAGTAGCACATGCACGACAACTGTAAGCACAGGACAAGCAGGGCCCTGAGTTTAGACTCTCTTTCAAATTACCACAATGTCTCCAACACTAATGATACTCTTGCATGCTTCATAGTCCTCAGCCATCTTTTTAGAAGGAAGTGTAATGCTCTTTTACACATCAAATAGTAAGCTCTTTGCCCTTCCCACTGCACTTAATTATGGCCACCCCATTTCAAAAGGGCATAGAAAATGGCAAAAGGCAAAGACAGACTTTAAAAAGTGGAGAGATTTCAGATGAATATAAAACAACTCGTGGCATTGAAAAGGTCAGTCAGACTCTTTTAGCTATATTAAAAGAAGGAAAAAGGGGCCCTTCAGGATATTATATGATGAATAGATGTTAAGCATAAGGGATAACCAGCCTATGGATCCCCATCGATTATTATTGCGGCAAAAAATGGAACAATAATGGTGTTTTCAGGTTAGTTATTTATATGAATGAGATGAAAATCCTTAGTTACATGGGGTAGGATACAGACGTATACAGTTACCAATACTCATTTTCAGGATAGAAAAGCCAACCACTATGTTCATAAGACATTTCCCATGTGCCATGCTATGACCTGTCAGTCAGTGATCAGGGCATTAACACCCCTCTGAATTATCCCGTGCTGGCCGCTGCCATAGATTAGGAGGAGAGGGGCAGTGGGGGGGCACTATAAGACTTAACCACTGTGGTGGTTCTTGTGTGTTCTGACTACATTCACACAAAGCTTGGTCGGTGTGCCAACAGTAAAAGTGATCAGATAAGGAGTGAGAGCGGAAGTGCAGAACCTTTAATGCAGGTCAAATTTTAAAACTTCATAAAGTTCCCTTAAGCATCAGAAAACTTTAAAGGTGAGACACAAACAATTAACCTTCATGTTTATTTTATTATACATGGACGCCTGCAACTGTCTGATTATCAACATTCACATGCAGTCTAATTATAGACACATCTTCCATCAGATGAATAAATCAGAGGAAAATATTATCATCAGAAAACCCGGAGCAAGACTGCATTGGAGAAAGGAGGCTGAGCACCCTCTCATGGCAATCGTCTGCCCCACAGTCTCTCCCTACCTTCACAAGTGGTTATTAGTCCCCCTAGCAATTTTGAATATTCTTCAGCAGCTCCTCAGACAAGGTGCTATAATAATGAGAACACACACACACACACTCCCCTCTCAAATGTGTGGGTTTCTAGGTGGTTCAGTAAACTGCTACATATGCAAACAGTTTACTGTACTTCACAAAATACATACGCTGCCTTTCTCCACCCTTCCCTGTTGCATAAGGTTCCCCTTTTCTTCTTTAGTTACCTATGGAGGCAGTAATACTTTACCTTGAGTGTACTGAAAAGGTGAGCTGCTTTGGTTTTCAGAGGCCCAAGGTACCAGTATCTAAAGAAAAAAATACAGGATTTATGAGAAACTTATGGGTGTGTTGGGATTGTGCAAAATCTTTCCTGGTGCAATGTATACCAGCATGCATAGACCTGATATCCGCTGAGGTTCATTCTTTCCTGTATTCCTAAACTTCAGAATACAAGAAAAATGAATTTTGTACATTGAAACTGTTCTCGGCTCATTTGCACACAACAATTAGAACTACCAGCTGCTGTCCTTTTGAAACCCCTTCTCCAAGCCTTAAGGTAGTTGTTCTATGAGGCAGTTCTTCTGAGGTAGTAGACCCATGTCCACCCCCTAAGGTAGTTATTTTATGTCCTGTATTCCTTTACTTCCCATGCACCCAACACCTGAAGGACTGATCAGCACTATTTCCCTTCAACAGCCTGGGAAATAAATGGTTTCTGCTCTGCAGCTACGTCATCAGATATGCAGGACCTTTTGATGCAAACAATTACGCATAAAATGTTCATCTGGAGCCAACCCAGCATTTATTAGTTCAGTGATCAGAAGACAGTCATCAAAAAGTATATTCTGTGACACTTTTGGCAGGAATTGAAGGACATCTCTATTGAGCCTGAAGTTCTTTTCTGGAGTTGGGCTACATAGGCTGTGTGTGTTTGTTTTTTGGCAACTGACTCCCAATGTGCAATTTCACTATACAGGGAAAGTTTCTTCCTACTGGCTTAGCTGTGGATGAACATCCAGAACTGAGCACCATAAGGAAAGTGAAAAGTTAATATCTGCAAAAACATCAGAACTGAAAATAAAATGCTAATTTCATGCGACAGGAAACACCATAACATTTTATATTCTAACCTATTTACTGCTATGGGCTAGGTCTGGGTTTAATGCCAAAAATGAACAGATAGGAAAGTGCCAAAGCTCAAGAAGAACTTCACTGATAAGAGTTGGGATGTGAAGAATATAAAGAGATATTTAAAAAGGCACAACTATAAGAAACACTCTATTCTTTACTTGCTAACTTTAACTCCTGTGTCTCGATAAGATCCCCATCTTAGCCCAGTCACTGCAAACACAGGCTGTTCCTTTTCTCCCTGTAAAGAAAAACAAAGTGCAAAGTTTACATCTTCTTGTCTTTTTCTGCAAACACAAGTCAGTCATTCCTGCAAAGGCAGCTGATTTATGGTCAGTCTCAGAAATGGAATTTCCCAACAAGGGTGTGCGCCATGACAGCAGGCAATAAGGGCCGAGCAAAACACAAAGAGTATATTTCCCCGATTACTCCCAACAGAGAGGAAAGAACTGAAGGTTTCTAGCAGGTTGAATGTGACTGCAGACCCAGCAAGGGCCACTGCACTTTGTGGATACAGTTAGGCTAAAACAAAGAGTGCTGTACACTACTGCTAAGCACCAGCCATGCAGGCAGCCATCTGCTTGCAGAACAGAAATCAGAAAAGAAAAGGTGCTCAAAAAGTGGAACTGGCATGGTCAGAAGGTGTCTAATCTCAGATTTTCCAGGATGGTAGGCTGTAAATTCCAATATATATGCAAGATAGAATTTAAATCATCTCAGCATGTAAATCACCTCACCAGTGCTGTTATTACTCTATTACTCCTGACATAACACTATTTGCAGGTTTTGCATTCATCTAGTACTTTCAGCCTCACAAGACTTCTAGACATTCAAACATTTCTTCCAGCTTACAACATCCAAATTCACTGCATGGAACCCATTTAGAGGACAAATGGCATGATTGCCTCTAAAACTACTCATGTCAGAAGCAGAGTCATGACTTCACTGCCCAAAAAGGAATAGTTCTTGTTACCTTACAGGATGCCCGGTAACTAATGAGAGTGGATTGGATAGAAATACACAAGAAATGAGCAGAAAAGTGTTGGGGATACTGTTCCCACCAAAAAGCATGAGTGGTACGTGCTCTTTACCTTGATCTGCAGTATGTCAAGTGGAACTGTCTCGCCCTTCAGAATGGCAAGTGTAGCATTAGTGATGTACCTAAAAAAACATAACAAAACAAAAAGCCAGGGGGCCTGCTTTGTGCTAGACTCTGCACTAACAGAGTGGAAAACAGATGCCACACCAAAGCTCTTACAATCTAAATTATGTCTCATTTTCTTATAGATTCGAAGCAAATGGAGGCAGCGGCAGTAAGTGACAAAGCCCATGTCTTAACAGATGGAGGAAGAGACAGATGCCAGAGAATGGAAAGATGTTTCCAGCTTGTCTGAGAAAGATCTCTGTCCCAATTAGTTTTGAAGATCATATACCTTGTGCATTCCCGTCTGCTTTTGAAGCAGACTTCTGAAGATTCCAACTCCAAATTTCTTTTCCTCTTGGCAAGCAGAAAATAAGCCTGGGGGGGGTGGGCAGGAGTGATCCAAGCCTAAGCACAGGTGTACATTAGTGCTGCTTCTACACTGCATCAGTGCATTCATCTGCCTAGGAAAGCAAGCACTACGCAGATTTACAGACACCAGGCGGAGCGGAACCCAACCAACTAAGGTTCCCTGGTACAGAAAGCAAGACAGCGACTTTTGAGAAACTAAGGGAGAGATCTAAAGAAATGTCGCTCACAGACAGTATCAAGTGACTGAGATTCAAAGTACTTTATTACATTAAATGAATCTATTCTATGCTGTTTTATCCTTGCACATATACCCATTGCCTCAGCTCATCCTAACTCAGCTTTCACGCTGATGCTGTTACTAGCTACTTGTTTCCCCATGGTTCATTTTAAGGGGACACATAGACTTAAAAGTGTTGCAACTAAACTGTTCCATTTCCTAAATAAGTCTGTATTAGCTAGTCAGAGATGTTTAAGATGAATTTCCTCCATAAGTTACCAATTAAGAACTGCATTGAAGATTGTGTGCATCTGCTGTGTTATTAGAATCAACAACCCACTTGGAGTCTAGTCTAGTACCCAAGGAATTCAGCAGGGGTCTTCGCACAAGCTTCAGTGCGAAGGAATCCACGAATCAGGAAGCAGGAATCTGTCCCCTTCTCACTCTTCATTATGGCTTGTGCAAGAGAAAATCATGCTCAATTCTGCATGTAGGAGTGAAGAGCCAATGCCCACATATTTCTATTTTAAAATGTTACTATTGTGATTCTTAAGTCAGTTTTTGTTATGGATGTGGGTTGTTGAATCTGTTCACTGATGGTCATTTCAACTTTCCAAATATGTTGTATTCCCTACTTATACAATTCATTACCCACAAACAATGAATTATTTTGGACTGAATTATTTTTAGTCTTCAAAGCCCAAACATGAACTATTATTTTAATCCTAATTGCTGTTTACAGCCTTGTCAATCTTGTTGAGTTTCAAAGCACTCTGGGAATTTTCATGAAGGACGGTATACCAGTTGGCTTGTGGGCTTTATGATGGATACTAGCTTGGAAAGCAAATGAGTCACCATGGGTGACAGGTGCCTCCCAAGTCTGGGGGGCAGCAGTGGGGCAGGACCAAGGGGGGGTCCCCCAGTGTGCCAGTGGCAGAGCCAATTTTGGGGGAGGCACAAGCACTTTCTGTACATGTGCATCCCCCCTACACATCACCTATGCAAGTCACCAAGAACACTAGAGTAAAAAGACATGAGTGAGGGAAAGATATGATGGGAGGGTGCAGTGAGGATTGGAAACTAGAAGAATGTGCGGAGAAAAGGATGGGTTCATTGACTGAATTAAAAAAAAAATGAAGAAAATAATCATATATAACAAAATGAAGGAAACACAAATTAGTATACTGGATGAGACCCATGCTCCAAGTAATCCTCTCCCATCTCCAACAGTTGTCAGTATCTGAATCTTCAGATAAAAGGGCAAGATGACCTACAGTAGCAGTAATAGGATAAACTGCCCTTTTCATACTCCATTCAAGGAAAGATTCCTCCTTACCCCTTTTACACATATATTAGGTTATGACCCAGGCACAGGCAAGTATTTTGGGCACAGGGCCACTTACCGAATTTTGGCAAGCTGTTGAGGGCCACGCGGGTATCCCCACCCCTTGACAAGTGCCCCGCCCCCTGGTTGCTATCTTGTGACCGGAAGTCCCGACCCCTAACCCTGACCTTTGCCAGCAGAAGTCCCTCCCCTTCCCCCACAAGAACTCCTTTCAGCAAGGGCTTTTGCCATCTCAGAACCAGAAAAACAGCAAATTATATTCTAAAAAGTGAGCATCTACAACATTCTTTAACTGATTTCAAAAAATATTTTTTCCTGGTTTACATGCGTTTCTGTAGTGTATATAGAGGTAATTGTATATAATAGCTTAAAATGAAGTCTTACTCTTGTATCTTGTAGGGGGGTGGGGGCATGGGATATGTGGGGTGTGGGCTGCTATGGGGTTTGTGGGGGGCTGTGAGTGGG